TCTAACAAGCCATGTTAGAGCTCCCACGGAGCTCTAACATACTGGAACATGTTATGTTCGAGCTCCGTTGGAGCTCTAACATGCCATGTTAGAGCTCCCACGGAGCTCTGACATACCATGTTAGAGCTCCCACGGAGCTCTAACATACCATGTTAGAGCTCCCAGGGAGCTCTAACATACTGGAACATGCTATGTTAGAGCTCCGTTGGAGCTCTAACATACCAGGTTAGAGCTCCCACGGAGCTCTAGCATACCATGTTAGGGCTCCTAGGGAGCTCCCACTGAGCTCTAACATGCTATGTTAAAGCCCCGTTGGAGCTCGGTATTATAGAGCTCCCAGGGAGCTCTACCATGGGAGCTCTCATAAAGCATGTTAGAGCACCCTGGGAGCTCTAACATACTCGAACACGCTATGTTAGAGCTCCGCTGGAGCTCTAACAAGCCATGTTAGAGCCCCCGCGGAGCTCTAACATACCATGTGAGAGCCCCCAGGGAGTTCTAACAAACTGGAACATGCTATGTTAGAGCTCCGCTGGAGCTCTAACAAGCCATGTTAGAGCTCCCACTGAGTTCTAACATACCATGTTAGAGCTCCCAGAGAGCTCTAACACACCCGAACATGCTATGTTAGAGCTCCGTTGGAGCTCGAACAAACCATGTTAGAGCTCCCAGGGAGCTCCCACTGAGCTCTAACATGCTATGTTAAAGCTCCGTTGGAGCTCTGCACTTTAGAGCTCCCAGGGAGCTCTAACATGGGAGCTCTAAAATAGCATGTTGGGCACCCTGGGAGCTCTAAATACTCTAACATGCTAAAGTATAGCTGGGCGTCTAACATACCATGTTATAGCTCCCCACGGGAGCTCCGCTGCAGCTCTAACAAGCCATGTTAAAGGCTCGTTGGAGCTCGGTCTCGGTATTTAGAGTCCCAGGAAGCTACTCCATCATGGGTGCTCGAAAATAGCATGTTAGAGCTCCCAGGGAGCTCATACCCTAATACTCGAACATGCTATGTTAGAGCTCCGTTGGAGCTCTAACAAGCCATGTTAGAGCTCCCACGGAGCTCTAACATACCATGTAAGAGCTCCCAGGGAGCTCTAACATACTGGAACATGCTATGTTAGAGCTCCCAGGGAGCTCTAACATACTCGAACATGCTATGTTGGAGCTCCGTTGGAGCTCTAACAAGCCATGCTGAAGCTCCCACGGAGCTCTAACATACTATGTTAGAGCTCCCAGGGCGCTCTAACATACTGGAACATGCTATGTTAGAGCTCCGTTGGAGCTCTAACATACCATGTTAGAGCTCCCACGGAGCTCTAACATACCATGTTAGAGCTCCCGGGAGCTCACACGGAGGCTCTACCATGATATGTTCAAGCTCCGGTTGGAGATCGTATGTTAGAGTCCCCGGGGAGCTCTAACTATGGGACGCTCTAACATAGCCATGTTCGGGTCCCAGAGCTTAACAACATACTCGAGCATGCTATGTTAGAGCTCCGTTGGAGCTCTAACAAGCCATGTTAGAGCTCCCACGGAGCTCTAACATACCATGTTAGAGCTCCCAAGGAGCTCTAACATACTGGAACATGATATGTTAGAGTTCCGTTGGAGCTCTAACATACCATGTTAGAGTTCCCACGGAGCTCTAACATACCATGTAAGAGCTCCCAGGGAGCTCTAACATACTCGAACATGCTATGTTAGAGCTCCGTTGGAGCTCTAACAAGCCATGTTAGAGCTCCCACGGGGCTCTAACATACTGGAACATGCTGATGGTATGGATGGTGGTGATGATGATGATGATGATGATGCTGATGATGATGATGATGATGATGATGATGATGATGATCATGATGATGGGGATGGTGATGATTGTATGGTGCGGGCGGTTGTGATGGTGATGGTGGTGATGGTGATGATGGTGATTCTGGATGTGATGAGCACCACCATCATCACCATCACCATCGCCACCACCATCAGCACTACGATTTGATAACCACCATCATTACAATCGTCGTCGGCATCAAAACACAAAAACACTCAACTGACTCAACTGAAATCCGCCCTAAATCAAGCCAGCAGGGGGAGCAGCTCGTCCAGCACCTTAGCCTCTTCTTTGCAGGGGTTGGAGTTTTTTCTCTGGAACATCCTGTTCCAGTTGGACTTGTGATGACGGCTGGTGAACCTCTCCTTGCAAGGCTCTGTTAGCCCTACTGCGAACCAGCCCTGGCAAGAGAGGTCCGCAAGAGGAGTACACAAATATCAGGTTGTCCACAATCGTAACTGGCAAGACAGATTCTGTGATTGCGCAGATTGCCAGCGCTCGCGCTGAACGCAGCGCTGTTTCTTGAACACACGCAGGTCTGAGACGGGCACGCCAGCTTCGCGCAGTCACCCTGGAGGCGCCATACTTTGGAAAGCTCGTCTTGCTTACTTGGCACATTCGGCGGGCTGTTCATGAGCACATCTGAAGATACTTTCGGAACGAGCTAAATTCCAAGATCAGTGTCTGCTTGCGGTTCTCGCTTGGGGAGACTACCACATGCACCCCGACAAGTTTGCGCATGACGGCTTCCTCAGTAGAGCCACCCAACAGGTAATCGGCCCCTGGGACCACACCCGCTGGACGGCGCGCGCGCAGGCCAAGACAGGCCACTCTCACCTCGCCCTGGATCTGTCTTATGACTGATTCGGAGCAGTCGTTGACGAACTACCCGCTGCCCCCGTCACGCCGCGCCGCCGTCCCGAGCAGCAGAATCAACGACTCGGAGAAGGCGCGGACCTTTGTCAAACCCAAGCAGCGTCCAACCCAGAGGCCCGTTGGACCCAGCCTGGAGGCATCGGAATGGGAACGTCTCCAGATTAGATCGGGTAACGTTTGCAGCACTTTCGAGACAGGGGTTTCCCCAGAAGCAGGCCAGCAGTCCCCAGCTCGGAGCCCTTCTCCACGGAACAAAAAACCGATCGACTTCATCTGGGCCCCCAGCAGTGGGGAAAACTGGGACCTCTGGCGGGGCCTCGGCGGCCCTGGCATTCTGCTTGAATGCGCCGTTGAGAGCCTCGAAGACGTACAATCAAAACGTGTATTGATGACGGGTAGCAAGGACGCGAGGCCCTTGGAGGCCGACGTTGGGATGCTTTGGGTGGCGGGCGACCAGTGCAAACGGCAGAGGACGGGCCGCAGAGGCAAGGACACGAGGGAACCCTGGATGAAGGCGCGCGTCCTCACTAGGCGCGTGGACTGTACTCCGAGTCCCAGTCGGCATCCAGCGTGTCTGCTCACCTCGGCGGCACGGCCTCCTGGCCTCTGCCTAATGACCAGGGGCAGCCCGGCAGCCCTGGTGCCAGGCCAGCCTGCCTTTGCTCTGCTGCCCCCCTGGTCTCCGTCAGCTTCGTCGCCATGCGCTCGGGCTCCGCGCGGGCAGGGCTCGTGCTCGCCCGGCCCGCGTGCGTATCCCACCCCCGCTGCTTGGCCTGGGCCGCCTTCTGCAGCTGCTGCTCGCCCGGCCTCCCCAGGGCCATCGGCTCCCGGTTCCTCTCGCTGCGCCTGGCCCGCTTCCAAGCCATCTGCCCTTCACCTGGTTCTGCGGATCCTCCTGTGCTCAGTGGGCCCCAGAAACGGCAGGGCCGCTTTTCACCGTCTCCGAAAAAGAGTCTCTTGAAAATGGAGAAAACACAACGGCGACCGGAAACGGCAAAGAAACGGCTCCGGGATTGGAACCGTAGCCAGAACCGGGACAAACACGACGACGGAACTGGCAACAAAACACGACGTCGGAACCGGGAGAAAAAACGACAACACGGAACGGGGAACAAAAACGGCACTGTCGTTTCCGAGGGCTACCAAGCGCCTGTGAACCCTTGCACTTCGGCGCCTGCTCCGTGGACGAGCCGCCACGCCACCTCCACCAGAGCAGCAACGGCTCTGGTGCCCCTGCTCCAGGTCCAGCGCCTCGGCCAGCGACAACCTCTTGAGGGCCGGCTTCTCGAGGAGGAGGAGGAGGAGGAGGTGGAGGAGGAGAAACAGGAGGAGAAGAAGAAGGAGGAGGCTGAGGAAGTGGAGGAGGAGGAGGAGGAGGAGGTGGAGGAGGAGGAGGACGAAGAGGGATCAGGAGGAGGAGGACGACGACGACGACGACGACGAGGGTGATGACAAAGAGGAGGGAGGAGCAGGGAGTCCATCATCGTCGCCGTCTCCCCCCCCCAACCAAGCCAGCGCCCCCAAGCGAGGCCCCCCCCTGGCGGCCGCTGGCTCTGCAGGCGGCCAAACAGCGCTGCAGCACCTCGCACACGCGCGCCGCGCGGAGGACGGTCAGCGACGACGAGGACAAGGACGAGGACGATGACGAGGACAAGGACGAGGACGACGACCGACGGACGACGACCGACGACCGACGACCGACGACCGACGAGCGACGACCGACGACGACGACGACGACGACGACGACGACGACGAGAACAATGACCGACGAACGACGACGAAAATCGACGACCGACGACCGACGACCGACGGCAGACGACCGATGACCGACGACGACGACCGACGGCCGACGACCGACAACGACGACGACGACGACGACGACGACGACGACGACGGACGAGAACGACGGACGACGACGACGACGACGACGACGACGACCGTTGACGACCGACGACGACCGACGACGACGACGACAACGAGGACGACCGACGGACGACGACGACGACGACGACGACGACGACGACGACCGACAACCGACGACGACGACCGACGACCGACGACCGACGACCGACGACCGACGACCGACGGACGGCGACGAAGACGACCGACGACCGACGACCGACGACCGACGACGACGACGACGACGACTATGACGACCAACGACCGACGACCGACCACCGACGACCGCCGACCGACGACCGACGACGACGACGACGACGACGTCGACAACGACGACGACGACGGCGACGGACGACGACGGCCGACGACCGACGACCGACGACCGAGGACGGATGACGACGACGACGAGGACGACCGACGACCGACGACCGACGACCGACGACAGACGACGACGACGACGACGACGACGACGACGACGACGACGACGACCGTTGACGACGACGACGACGACGACCGACGACGACGACGACCGACGACCGATGACCGACGACCGACGACCGACGACCGACGACCGACAACCGACGACCGCCGCCGACGACGACGACGACGACGACGACGACGACGACGACGGACGATGACGACGACGACGACGACGACGACCGACGACGAAGACGACGACGACGACGACCGACGACGACGACCGACGACCGCCGACCGACGACCGACGACGACGACGACGACGACGACGACGACGACGGCGACGGACGACGACGGCCGACGACCGACGACCGAGGACGGACGACGACGACGACGAGGACGACCGACGACCGACGACCGACGACAGACGACCGACGACCGACGACCGACGACCGACGACCGACGAACGACGACGACGACGACGACCAACGACGACGACCACGACGACGACGACTGACGATGACGACGACGAAGACAACCGACGACGACGACGACGACAACGAGGACGACCGACGGACAACGACGACGACGACGACGACGACGACGACGACGACGACGACGGTCGACGACGACCGACGACCGACGACCGACGACCGACGAAGATGACCGACGACCGACGACCGACGGCCGACGACGACGACGATGACGACCGAGGACGACCGACCGACGGACGACGACGACGACGACGACGACGACGACCGACGACCGACGACGACGATCGACGACCGACGACCGACGACTGACGACCGACGACCGACAACCGCCGACGACGACCGACGACCGACAACGACCGACGACCGACGACCGACGGCCGACGACCGACGACGACGACGACGACGGACGACGACGATGAAGACGACGACCACGACGACCCACGACGGACGACGGACGACGGACGACCGACGACCGACGACCGACGACCGACGGCCCACGAAAGACGACGACGACGACGACGACGACGACGACGACGACGACGACGACGACGACGACGACGACGACGACGACTACCTTGGCGACGGCGACAGACGACGACAACGACGACGACGACGACGTCGACGACGACGACGACAACGACGACGACGACGGGGAGACTGGCCCCGGGGGCGACGGAGAAAAGACGACGGCACGACGACGACGACGACTTCCATCTCCATCTCCCTCTCGTCCTCCTCCTCCTCCTCCTCCTCCTCCTCCTCCTCCTCCTCTTCCTCTTCCTCCTCCTACTCCTCCTCTTGCTTCTCCTCCTCCTTCTCCTCCTCTTTATTCTCAAGGGAGAGGTGAAGCCATGGTTCCTGACATCCGCCGATCTGATTGTTTCAGTCCGTGGCCCCGGCAATCCCAACCGCTTCCCTGGAGCTGTCTTTTCGTCATGGATCCGTGTTTTTATTGTCCCAGGTAATGGTCCCCGAGAACCGAACTCGAGGAAAAAATTGCCGGTCGAAAAAACCAGATCGCCTGAAATTTGGGATACTCACACAAACAACCCTCGACCCCCTGCTGTTCGCCCCCGAGAAAAAAGGACCCCTCCCCGGACCGTCGGACGGTATCCCAACTGGTCGTTCGGCCCACCACGCCCCCAGGTACCTCGCCGAAAGTGGGGGAGTGCGGCCGCCGGGGGGGGGGGAACGCATCGAGTTTTTCTTCTCAGGCCACCCCAAGCTGAAGAGTTCCTGGGCCGTGTCCGGTTCCAGCTTCGGCCCCGGTCTCAGGGGCGAGTTTCCCCGAGGGAATGGCGCGCGGAGGAGCGCCTGCAGCTGCAGCCGGTGCGCCACGACGTCGTCGTGCACCTCGGGCGCGCGGGGGCGCGCTTCGGGGCGGCCGGGGCCCGCGGGGGCCTCGGTGCCGTCTCGTCCCCGCCCTCCTCGCCAGTCGCCGTCACCGTCCTGGCGGCGCCCACACAAGCGGGGGGCGCGAGGAAGGGGGGCTTCCAAGGAGAGGGGGTTTCTCAGAAAGCAGCGGCTTTCTAAGAGGGCTTCTGCATTCCACGAAAGCAGACGCCCCCGAAAGAGGCCCGGAACTGCCTCCAAGATGCCTCCAAGGCGCTTAGTTCTGAACATGCGTGCTGTGCAATAAGTGGTTTGCCCATGATTATATAGATAGATAGATAGATAGATAGATAGATAGATAGATAGATAGATAGATAGATAGATAGATAGATAGATAGATAGATAGACAGACAGATAGATAGATAGATAGATAGATAGATATATAGATAGATAGATAGATAGATAGATAGATAGATAGATAGATAGATAGATATATAGATAGATAGATAGATAGATAGATAGATAGATAGACATATAGATAGATAGATAGATAGATAGATAGATAGATAGATAGATAGATAGATAGATAGATAGATAGATAGATAGATAGATAGATAGATAGATAGATAGATATATAGATAGATAGATAGATAGATAGATAGATAGATAGATAGATAGATAGATATATAGATAGATAGATAGATAGATAGATAGATAGATAGACATATAGATAGATAGATAGATAGATAGATAGATAGATAGATAGATAGATAGATAGATAGATAGATAGATAGATAGATAGATAGATAGATAGATAGATATAGATAGATAGATAGATAGATAGATAGATAGATAGATAGATAGATAGATAGATAGATATACATTCAAATAAATTCGAAAGACCCCTTAGTGGCCCCGGCCCCCCCCGCCCCCCCCCAGAGCCCCCAAACGGCCCCAAACGGCTCCCAAACACTTCTTAGTGGCCCCGGGCCCCCAGAGAGCCTGCAAACGGCCCCAGAGCACTTCAGACGAGCCTGCCCGCGGCCACCCGAGGTCCTGGTCCTGCCCAAGACGGCCTTCACACGGCCCAAGATGCCTCCCAAATTGGGCCCCATCGCACAAAAATCGTAGCATTCCCCTCGTAAAATTGCTGCTTTCTGCGCATTCTCTTTTTCCGTTTTCGACGCGCCCACGACGGCCCCAGAGGCTTCCGACACCGTCCCAAGACGGCCCGAGACGTCCCCAACAGGGCTCCAAGAGGGTTCCTGACTGCCCCAGAACGGCCCAAGAGGGGCCCAGGACGGCCCAAGAGGACCCCAAGAGGGGCCAAAGACAGCCCACCATGGCCCCAAGAGGCCCCAAGACGGCCCAAGAGGCCTCCAGGGCGGCCCCGAGAGGGCCCAAGAGAGCCACTACTATTGATTTTTTTCCCTAACAGAAATAATTCGCTGAGCAATTAATGCTGTAGCTGTACTGTAGGGTGCTACAGTAAATAATTCGCTGAGCAATTAATGCTGTAGCTGTAGCTGTAGCTGTAGCTGCGACGAAGCTTTCGCGCGGCGTTTTTTCTGTTTTTTACGACGCCGGGAGGTCTGGGCCAGGAAGGAAAAAGGAGTTGGTAAGGAATTTGAGAAGGGAATTTGGTACACGGACCAAGAGTGCCCCGAGAGGCCCCCAAAGGGGCCCCAAAAAGCTCCCTCGCGGCTCCCCGACGGCCCGCCTCGCTGGATTCGGCGCCTTCGGTGGGAGGACAGCTTCAGAACAAGCTTCAAAGGATCTGCTGCAGTAGGTGAAAGCGTCGTACCACCCAGCGCGCGCCACAAACCTTCGATCCGCTCAACTCCGTGGATTTAATCCACAAGTCCACACTAGTATTTATATATATATATGCTAGAACCATCGCGCGCGCTTCGCGCGCGCTCAGGTTCTAGCAGGCCCCAGGCCTTGACGAATTCACTGCTCCACTGAAGTAGTGGGACCACAGTCCACGCATGCCATTCTGCATTCCGAAAGGCCTTCGAGGAAAACGGTTGTGTAGGGGGGCGGAGGCCGTATGAATCGGGTTCCCAGAAGGCCTTCTGGGAGCATGGGTTTTGGGCGTCTTAAGGAGCCTGTTGGGGCGTGCCGTCGTCGTCGTCGTCGTCGTAATGTCGTCGTCGCTTATTGGCGCGCGCGTCGTCGTCGTCGTCGTCGTCGTCGTCGTCGTCGTCGTCGTCGTCGTCGTCGTCGTCGTCGTCGTCGTCGTCGTCGTCGTCGTCGTCGTCGTCGTCGTCGTCGTCGTCGTCTTCGTCGTCGTCTTCGTCGTCGTCGTCATCGTCGTCGTCTTCGTCGTCGTCGTCATCGTCGTCGTCGTCGTTTCGCCGTCGTCGTCGATTCAAGAGGGCACTTGGGGCAACTTTGTGCGAAACGATCTGCGGAGGGCCGCGAGAAGGCGATCAGTAATGTTCACAATCAACTTCCCAGACAGCTCTCCTGTCGCATGATGGTACTTCGAAGCCTCCGGAGACTCGCGGGCCCATGAACCATGTCCCCAGGAGGCTTTCTGGGGACATGGTTTTTGGGGTGTGTTGGGGGGTCTCTTGTGCGTTCCCTGGGGGCCCCTTGGGGGCCTCGGGGAACTCTCGGGCCCATGATGAACCATGTCCCCGGAAGGCTTTCTGGGGACATGACTTCTTGGGGTGTGTCGGGGGGCCTCTTGGGCGTTCCCTGGGAGCCCCTTGAGGGTCTCTTGGGGCTTCCTGGGGGCCTCTTGGGAGCCTCACGGGGCTTCGTGGGAGCCTCTTGGTGGCCTCCGGGGGCCTACAGGCGGCCTCTAGGGCCAGAGACCTCGAAATATCGGTTGGCGGTCCCCCTCTGGGCCCTCTCTTGGGGAGCTCTTGGGGCACAGTTGGGCTGTCTGGGGAGCATCCTGGGCCGTCTTGGGGCCCTCTTCGGGGCCTCGTGGCCCGTCTTGGAGCGATCTGAAGGGCCTCCGAGCGAGGCCGTGAGGGAGCGCTGGGAAGCGGGGAAAGCGAGAACGCCTAAATCCTTCAAAACCATAGGAAAATGAGTGAATCTTGCCTCCCAGGGCCCTCTTGGGGAGCCACCTGAGTCCGTCCTGGAGCGTGTTGGAGTCCTCGTCGGCCGTCTTGAAGGCAGCTTGGGCGTCTTCGGGGCCTCTTGGGACCGTCTAGGGCCCTCTCGGGACCTCCATTAGCCTGTGGTGGCCTGCTTCGGGGCGGGCCCGGGCCGCCTCGGGACCTTAGCGCGCTCTTGGGGTACACTTGGGTTGTCTGGGGAGCATCCTGGGCCGTCTTGGGGCCCTCGTCGGGGCCTCGTGGGCCTTCTTGGAGCGATCTGAAAGGCCTCCGAGGCCGAGAGGGAGCGCTGGAAAGCGGGAAAAGCGAGAACGCCTAAATCCCAAACACTCGGAAGACGAGTGAATCTTGCCTTCCAGGGCCCTCTTGGGGAGCCTCTTGCGTCCGTCCTGGAGCGTGTTGGAGTCCTCGTCGGCTGTCTTGAGGGCATCTTGGACGTCCTCGGGGCCTTGTGAAACCGTCTTGGGTCCTCTCGGGACCTCCATTAGTCTGTCGTGGCCTGCTTCGGGGCGGGCTCGGGCCGCATCGGGAGCTCTGGACCCCCCCGCAACCCCTGGTGGGCACCGATGGGGGGAACAGGCAGCGGCCCGCCCCCCCTCCCTGGGCCTACTCCGAGGTAGAGCATCATGTTCCCGGGAAGCTTTCTGGGAGCATGATTCGTTCGGCTCTCTAAGAGGGGGGCCTCTGGGGGCTTACCGAGGGGCGCCTTTCGGCCTTCGGCAAGCCTATTGGAAACATGGTTGGGGCGGTGGGCGGAAGCCCAAGGAATCATGTTCCCGGAAAGCTATCTGGGAAATACGATTTACCGAAGTGTCTTGGGGGCCCGCAGAGGGCTTCCCTGGGGGTCCCTTGGGGGTCTATTGGGCTTCTGGGGGGCCTCTTGGGAGCCTCGCGGGGCTTCTTGGGAGCCTCTTGATGGCCTCTGGGGGCGTCCTAGGAGCCTCTCAGGCCGGAGACCTCGAAATGTCGCGCTCTTCGGGCCCTCTTGGGTCGCTCTTGGGGCTCTCTTGGGGCGCGCTCGAGGCCCGCTTGACTTGTCTGGGGAGCCTCCCGGGTGGGCCGTCTCAGGGCTCTCTTTGGGAGCCTCTTCGGCCGTCTTGGAGCGATCCGAAGGGCCTCTGACGCGGTCCAGGACCGCGTGGGGAGGCGGAACATGGGAGAGCGCAAGAATGCTTCAAAAACCATCGGAAAATGTATGAGTTTCGGTTTCTGGGGCCCTTTGGAGGGGCCTCGGGAGGCGCTTTGGGGGCGTTTTGGCGGCGTCGTCGGCCGTCCTGAGGCCATCTTCGGCGTGTCTGGGGCCTCTGGGGGCTTTCTTTGGGCGTCCTGGGAACCCGGAAATCATGTTCCCGGAGAGGCTTCCTGGAACATGATTTCGAACGAGGCTCTCTTGGGCCTCCCTGAGGCCGTTTTGGGGGCCTCCTGGGCTGGCTTTGGGGCCTCTTGGGCCGTCTTGGGGGGTTTCCGTCAGCCCCACAAGACCACCCTGTTGAGCCGTCTTGGGCCCTCTTGGGTCTCTCTGGGGCTGTCTTGGGGCTCCTCGGGGGCGTCTGGGCTGGGGCACTGTGAAGACGAAGCCAGCGAGTATGCTGAAAATGTACGTTTCACAAAGGAAATGGGCCGATGTTTGCCTCTTGAAGGCCCTCTTGGGGCCCCATTCGGCCATCTTCAAGCCATCTCGGGCCCTCCTGGGCCTCGCTGAGGCTGTCTTGTGGGCCTCTTGAGCGTCCTGGGAACCCAGAATCATGTTCCCGGAGAGGTTTCCGGGAACATGATTTCGAACGAAGCCCTCTTGGGCCTCCCTGAGGCCGTCTTGGGGGCCTCCTGGGCCAGCTTCGGGGCCTTTTGGGTCGTCTAGGGGTTCTGTGAGCCCCGCGGGATGATCTTTTTGGGCCGTCTTGGGCCCTCTTGAATCTCTCTTGGGCTGTCTTGGGGCTCCTCGGGGGCGTCTGGGGCACTGAAGACAAAGCCAGCGAGCATGCTGAACATGTACGTTTTACTACGGGGATGAGCCGATGTTTGCCTCTTGAAGGCCCTCTTGGGGCCTTCTTCGGCCATCTTCAAGCCATCTCGGGCCCTCCGGGGCCTTGCTGAGGCTGTCTTGTGCACAAGGGCCTTTTGGGCGTCCTGGGAACCCGGGATCATGTTCCCGGAGGGGCTTCCGGGAGCATGATTTCGAACGAGGCCCTCTTGGGCCTCCCTGAGGCCATCTCGGGGGCCTCCTGGGCCGGCTTCGGGGCCTCTTGGGCCGTCTTGGGGGGTTCCGTGAGCCCCACGGGACGATCTTTTTGGGCCGTCTGGGGCCCTCTTGGGTCTCTCTTAGGCTGTCTTGGGGCTCCTCGGGGGCGTCTGGGGCACTGCGAAGACGAAGCCAGCGATTATGCTGAAAATGGACAGATGTTTGCCTCTTGAAGGCCCTCTTGGGGCCTTCTTCGGCCATCTTCAAGCCATCTCGGGCCCTCCGCCTCGCTGAGACTGTCCTGGGGCCTAGTAAGGGGGCCCTGGGAGCCCGGAGTTCCCGGAGAGGCTTCCAGGAACATGATTTCGAACGGGGCCCTCAACCAGGCGCACATGCCCGCGCCGCTGGGAAAGATGAACGCCTCCACGGGCAACGCCTGTAGCATGTCAAAATCAATTCACATTGCGGCTGGCGCTGCGACATTCTGATGGTGGAGGGAGGCGGTGGACTTCGGCGGCTGCTCCGCGGGCGGCAGGAACCGAGGGCCCTTGCTGCGTGCTCCGGCCACTCCGCCGAGACGACCGCCCGGGCGCGCCTTGTCGGCGCTCCAAAAGTGCGGGAGTTGTCATCCCCCCCTTGCCTCTGCACCCCGACCATTTCGATGTTGTCGGCCAGCGCGCCCAGCTTCCCCTCTAGCAACCGCTGCGCGCACTTGTCGGGGCGTTCCCCCGCGCGCTGCTCGCCCCCGGGCAGCCTGCAACTCGCCTCCAAGCTGCCGCCCGCCGCCCAGGCGAGCGCCATGCGGGCGAACGCCCGCTGGCCCCAGCGGCGCAGCCGCGGCGCGCAGCGCAGCCCCTTGCTGGTTCGTCGCAAGCAGCGTGCTGCCGCCATCTCTAACCTCGGCGGCCAACTTGTCGATCTTGCCCGAATTCACCGACCCTGCCCAACTGGCGACGGCCCTGGGCCGACCCCTCAGCACCTCGATCGCCCCCTGCCGCGTCGTTCATCGTCGCAGCGACGACCTCGTCTACCCCGAAAGTCAAGGCGAGATCGCTCGGCCAGTTGCACGGGAAGTTTCGAACGCAGCAGGAAGTAGTGGAACCTGCCGGCGCGCGCAAGCGCAATTTGCCCTGGCAGGCCCTTCCTGGTCAGGATCGGCATCAGCGCGTCGGCATTCTGCAGCACCACCTCGAAAAGCGTCGCGCCCTGGGCCTCGGCGCAGCCCGTGCGCCGACAGCGGCGCCGCGGGCCCGGTCCGGAGAGCCTGGCGCCGGGCTCGACCCCCTTTGACAACGGCAGGGGCGCTTCGACAAATCTGTCGCTGAGGTCGCGAGACAGGGGGCCCCGCGCCACGAAGGACACCCACTTCGCCTCCTCCCCGAAGACTAACAAACTGCCCCCCCGCGCCAGCGCGGAGATGCAAGCGCAGGCCATGCAGGCCCCCCCCCAGATCGCGCAGCCCCCGGTTGAAAGTATGTGGAGGAGCGGGTGCTCGAGGAAGCGCCGTTCGCAGAGCACCGTTGGATCAGATGGCGCAAGGGCAGCGGGATCGCGTCGGACGCGGCCAGGTCTTTGACCGTCTGCGGGCGTGTCTGCTTCAGCTTGCCGCCTACCTGCTGGCGCATCTGCATCCGGGGCCCAGGTTCAACCTGCCGCGCGAGTAAGAAGCGCGTCAACCTCTCCATCATGTGGCTGCGAGTCCTCGCATCGGTTCTGATATGAGACGCGCGCGACGAAATCGCCAATAAAACGACGGAGAAGACCATGGCGCCGCCCAAGGACGCAGACGTTGAACACCTTCTCGTTGTCATTCACTGGGGAAGCCCGCGTGAAACCAGGAGCCATTTGGGCAAGGGCCGACTGGAACGCCGCGAAGCATCGATTGGCCTCGCCGCAATCACCGCATGTCACAAACAGCCCCCCTCTCCGCAAGCAAACCCAAGCGTGGCCCGCGTCGGGCGCAGAGCCCTCCCTGGCCAGGAAGCACCGCGCGCAGGCGATCGTGTGATTGATTCGTAGCAGAATCAGTGCAAACCAAATGTGAAGCAAAGCTCTGACTGTACCCGAGTCGTTCCAGCACGGCGCCGATATTGCGCATCCATATGACTGCCGAGAGCCGCATGATTCGCACGATCTTGAATATCTGAATGACAGTCGCCGAATCAGTCTCCGCGGCCATGTCAACAGGAAGAGGGCTGTAATGTCCACCGTCAACGTCAATAGATCCAGGAAGAAGCTGCCCTCTAGGTAGCTGCGAGCGATCTTAGTGGGATGCATGATGAGATGTCCATCGACGAGTATCACGCGACCAGCATGCCAACCGACACTCGCTCAAATATGAACCAGGGGCGACCTCCTTGGCCGACTTGAAAACCGAGAAAGTATGGAACGGACGACAAGTTATACGCCAGTACGCATATTCCTATGAAGTCGAGCCAGGCCAGCAGATCCGAAGCTGGACGCAGCAAAATATTCTTGAATATCCTGCTCAAGAACGCAATCTATGACGAGCGCCCACGGCCCATGCTTTTTTTTGTTTACAAAATTGGTGTGACAGGCTCTGGGGATGGGAGAGTACCCATAATTCCTTTGCGTGCGCATCTTGTTCGTTGCCGAAATCCACCAGCCTTTCCCGGACCTCCGCGCGCTCCAACCACACTTGGGTCCCGATGGATTCGCCACCGCCTTGTAGCATCCACTCGCCGATGCCGAGGCTGCCAACTTCCCATGCGGCCACTATGTCTGGTGTTGATGTCAGCCTTCTCGAAACCCAGCGGGACGACGGCATCCGAGACAACGACTCGCCCCCTCCTACCAACTTCTCCTCCGCGCCTTCTCCTGCTGCCTGAGCCACAGTCTCGCTGTCCTCGCCGCTGCAAGCGACTGCCCTTTTGCCCCGCGCGAGGCTGGCCACCAGCTGCTCCAGCCAGCGCTGGCCGCGGAGCAGCTCGCGAACGCTGCCCAAGACCTCGTCGGTGTGGTCGCCGCGTCTGTCGGCCATGCGAGCAAATCCGGCTGGCCGCCGAAGCACGCACGTCTGCGCCAGAACGGCGCCTTGAGGCAAAATGGAAGCGGAATAAGGTGACTCGCCGTGTTTGGATGTGGCGCCGGGCCGTGTTGAAGCCTACGGGACTGCTCAAAGATCCGGCACCGTGTTTGCGCGATTGTGGGGCGTGACGACGAAGTGTCGGTTATCTCGTGGGTGTCTGTGGCGTTCCAGGGGCGGCCGTCCCCCTCTGGCACGACCACCGGATGTCTGCAACAAGTTTTTCCAACTAGATCCGAGAGGGCCTCGACAGTTCATCTACAACATCAATCGCATCAAGATTTGGCGCGCATGGTATGGAGTGTCTTGTCCAGACCTGCAACGGCATTGCAGTTTCATTGCGTGCGGGTAACGCGCTGCCCATGTACAACAGACGGGCAAGTGCATTGCACATGCATTGCGCTGGGAAGTTGTGGGTCGCAGCTCGACGCGTGTAGACATCGAACAACAGACTTGCGACCCTGAGTGTACAGGCCCCCCAAGTCTGTTGCAGCCCCCCAAATCTACTGCGGCACGACCGACCAGATCCGATCTGACCGCTTAGAGAATATGTGGAACAGGGAGCGCGGGCTGCCCCAAGAGCGCCGCCCGATGTCGATGACAGAATCGGCCACCACCTCGTCACGAATGTTATCCATAGTTGTATGTGTATATATATACGCATACGCACAGTTAGAAACACTTGTACATATACATATACATGTATACACACGCATTGAACCACGCGCGCGTGGTTCCAGCCAAGGCAAAGCTAGCGCCACATCAATCATCGGATTGGCACGCACACCATCCCACCACGATCACCACATGGGAACACCTGCGCAATTGTGGGCATACATGTATCGGTAGCATCACCCGGCTATACTGGCACATCCTTCACACGGATCGTGCCCCTCGGGGAGCTCCTCCTACGGCCCCAGAGATAAGGTTCGCATAGCGTCCCCCCGCCCATCTGGGCACACCCCTCACAGGGATTATGCCCCAGAGCGAGCCCTACCTATGGCCCCAGAGATACGGCTCGCATAGCGGCACACCCCTCACGCGGATCGTGCCCCGCAGATAACTGCACGTACGGCACCACAGGGAAGCTTCGCATAGCGCCACCCCGCTCACTGAGACACACCTTTCACACATATTGTGCCCCGCAGGGAGTTCCACCGATTGCCCCAGAGACAAGGTTCGTAGCCCGCCCCCCCGCCTACTTCGGCACACCTCTCACACGGACCATGCCCCACAGGAAGCTCCACAGACGGCCCCAGGGACAGGGTTCTCATAGCACGCCCCCCCCGCCCATATTGCACCACACACCCCACGCGGATCGTGCCCCACAATGAGCACCACCCACAGCCCAAGAGACACGGTTCGCACATCGTCCCCCGCCCATGTCGGCGCACCGATCACACGAACTACGCCCTGGAAGGAGCTCTCCCTATGGCACCACTGGGCAGCTTCGCATGGCATCCCTTTCTCTAGGTTTTTCCCAACCATCCTGTGGTGTTGGGTCCTCGTTTTGAATAGACAGCGCCCCGCGTCCCCTCCTTCCTTCCTTCCTCCTCCCCCTCCTCCCTCCTCTCCTCCTCCCCCTCCTCCTCCCCATCCTCCCTCCTCCCCCTCCTTGCCTCTGCACTCGGCACACCTCTCACACGTTTCGTAGCCCCATCGGGAGCTCCACCGAAGGCCCCAGTGGTTGCTCTCGCGTGCGTTTCCCCCCACCCTGGGCAGCGTTTCGTGGCCCCATAGGGAGCTCCACCGAAGGCCCCAGTGGTTGCTCTCGCATCCGTTTCCCCCTCCCTGGGCAGCGCTTCGTGGCCCCATAGGGAGCTCCACCGAAGGTCCCAGTGGTTGCTCTCGCATGCGTCTCCAACCCTGGGCAGCGTTTCGTGGCCCCATAGGGAGCTCCACCGAAGGCCCCAGTGGTTGCTCTCGCATGCGGTTCCCCCACCCTGGGCAGCGCTTCGTGGCCCCATAGGGAGATCCACCGAAGGCTCCAGTGGTTGTTCTCGTCGCATGCGTTTCCCCCACCCTGGGCAGCGCTTCGTAGTCCCATAGGGAGCTCCACCGAAGGCCCCAGTGGTTGCTCTCGCATGCGTTTCCCCCACCCTGGGCAGCGTTTCGTGGCCCCATAGGGAGCTCCACCGAAGCCCCAGTGGTTGCTCTCGCATGCGTTTCCCCCACCCTGGGCAGCGCTTCGTGGCCCCATAGGGAGCTCCACCGAAGGCCCCAGTGGTTGCTCTCGCATGCGGTTCCCCCACCCTGGGCAGCGTTTCGTGGCCCCATAGGGAGCCCCACCGAAGGCCCCAGTGGTTGCTCTCGCATGCGCTTCCCCCGCGCTGGGCAGCTTTTCGTAGCCCCATAGGGAGCTCCACCGAAGGCCCCACTGGTTGCTCTCGCATGCGTTTCCCCCACCCTGGGCAGCGTTTCGTGGCCCCATAGGGAGATCCACCGAAGGTTCCACTGGTTGCTCTCGCATGCGTTTCCCCCACCCTGGGCAGCGCTTCGTGGCCCCATAGGGAGCGCCACCGAAGGCCCCAGTGGTTGCTCTCGCATGCGTTTCCCCCGCCCTGGGCAGCGTTTCGTGGCCCCATAGGGAGCTCCACCGAAGGCCCCAGTGGTTGCTCTCGCATCCGTTTCCCCCACCCTGGGCAGCGCTTCGTGGCCCCATAGGGAGCCCCACCGAAAGCGGCACCCACAACGCGTTACGAACAATTGCTTCTGGTTGGGTCCTTCGCCTGGATCATTTTTTAGACCGCACCCTCCCCACCCCAGTCAGATTCCGCCCCACGGGGCCACGTTCAGTATACAAGAACCACGGCCCAGAGAGGGTACCTTGTAAACCAAACCCACGACCAGGACCCTCGCCCACTCCACAGGGCGGGTTTTCGGGCATAGTATACAAACTTGTCGGGCGGATCCCTGCGCCCATTTCGCCATATGCCTCACGCGGGTCGTGCCCGACAGGAAGCTCCACCCGCTGCCTCGGCGGGCGTGTTCGCGCGGGGGGCACTCGAAGTTCAGCGCGCCTGCGCACGCCTGCAGCGCCTTCCCTCTGGCATCGAGCCCCATCTTTCTTGAAGCTGCCGTGTGCGATATCATTCTCGTTAAATTGTCCGCCCCGCTCTCTACCTCCTCGTCATCCCCTCCTCCCAGAACATGCACGTCTTTCTCGAGCTGTCGGATTTCAGTTGCTTTGTAGCCTTGTGTATGTTGTTCGTCACGTGCAGCCGTGTAGCGTGCAGGTCGGCACCCGTGCTGCTGCTCCGCCTCCTCCCGCCCATCCCTCCTCCCTGCCCGCACCGGCGATGTCACGAGGCACGCGCCGAGGAACATGTCCAAGAGCAAGTGCGATCCAGTGCTGGTCGCCGAGGCGGCCCCCAGATGAGTAGAGGCAGCACAGAGAAGCGAGGGGCAGAGGTCGGGGTCAGGGATAAGGGCGGGGATCAAGGACGCTCGAAGGCGGAAAGGCGTTGCAACAACAGCACTTGGAGTTTCCGCCTCGTGCCCGGGCCAGGTGGCGAGCTCGTGGCCGACGCGAGGCAGAAGGTGCCCATCTGCGGCGGGTGTCGTGCCGCGCTCGCCAAGAGGGAACCCACGATGCCGACGCTCTAGCTCGCGAACGAGCTGTGGATCGGATCGGTCGGCTGCCACCGCCCTGGAAACAAATCTCACTCGGCGCGAAGCTTTTGCTCCATATCGCGCGCGGATGCGCGCGGCATCGTAAGGCGGTTCAACTGCAAGACAGACTCGGGCGGGTGGGCTCCGCTGAACCAGCGCATCAAGGCGCTCGCGGGGAACTTCTTAGCGTTCCCGCAGGCGGACGGTGGTCGGCAGGTGATGCCCTTGCCACCGCGGGAGGCTGACCTGGCGGAGTTCGTGCAGATCGTGTTCGCGAAATCGGACCCCGCCGCTTTGCAGCGCGCGCAGCTCACGGAGCTCGGCGTGCTCCTCGATGCGTTCAGGCGCGCCTGCGAGCACCTCCGCGACGCGCACGAGCAGTACATCGCGGCGCGGCGGGATTAGCAGGCCGCGCAGGAATTCGCCGATCCCAATGGCGACGCGCCTTCGTCGCTGGGCCTGCCGCGCCGTCTCGCCGCGCGCGTTGCCCTGGGGGGGGGCGAGGGCGGCTGCGCTCGCCAGGAGGGTCCCGCGGGGCCAGTGGAGCCCCGCGCCGGCCCTGGAGAACGGGCGGCGGGTGTCGCGGGAGCAGGTGACCGGGGTCACGAGGGCGGCGAGGGGAGGAGAAGGAGGAGGAGGAGGAGGAGGAGGAGGAGGAGGAGGAGGAGGAGGAGAAGGAGGAGCAGGAGGAGGAGGAGGAGGTCGAGGAGGTCGAGGAGGTCGAGGAGGTCGAGGAGAAGGAGAAGGGGGAGGAGGAGGAGGAGGAGGAGGAGGAGGAGGAGGAGGAGGAGGAGGTCGAGGAGGGCCGCCGTTTCTGGCGATGGCGAGATGAGCTGCATGACTGTAGAGTTTCCCCAGTTGGATTTGCCTCATGGCTTTTACTTGGTAAAAGTTGGTGCCTCGGGAAGCTTGCCGTTCCTCGGAGGTTCCGCGGGTGCCTCGGGTTTCCCGACGTTTCTGGCGATGGCGAGATGAGCTGTACGATGATTGCTTTCGCATTACTGGATATGTGCCAGAGGGATACAGTTGATCCGTATCATAAGGACACACAATAAGGATGCATAGGCCTTGGAAGGCCGTTTCGAAGCTTTTCGAGCGGGGCGCGGCCAATGAAAGTGGCCAAGGATGGACCGATGAGGCAAGGATGCAAGGGTGCCTTTGGGAAGGGTGCCCATCCTTACTATGCGGGTTGACTGTGCAAGGCAGGCGCTGTTTTTTTCAAAACGAGGCCCTAGCAAAAATGGCGGGCCCAACTGGTGCTGGTCTTTAAGGGAGTCGCTTCTTGTAGTGAAAACCAAGCTTGTAGGGACGTCTCAGTGGGGGGGACTTCGGACGGGACGGTG